CGTATCACAGAGCACACAGCAAACCAAGCAGCAGACATCCTCCTCGTGGATCTTCCCGAGAATAATGGTAGTGACGACAGCAGTGCAGAGAGCGGCCGTATGGCGGTGTCCGCTGATGAACTAGTCTTCTCTAGACTAGTAGGAGTAATTTACTTCGTGTGCATATATNATCCTCCTCGTGGATCTTCCCGAGAATAATGGTAGTGACGACAGCAGTGCAGAGAGCGGCCGTATGGCGGTGTCCGCTGATGAACTAGTCTTCTCTAGACTAGTAGGAGTAATTTACTTCGTGTGCATATATATATATCTTGATCTTGAATCTGCCGCACTGCTGTGATATCTGCGGGCATGAGGCAGGCGGGTGGAAGGTTGCCGTATTTGAGTGGTATGAATGTTGCGCATGCATGCAGTAGTCTTCACGGGCCAAAAAAATTGGCACTACAAACGTATCGGCTACAATATGGAAATGTATTAGGAGTCTAGCCAATCACCGACGCCCCTGAAGACCGACGGCACACGGGACTGTGTCTGTGTTCGCATGCTCTACGCTCGAACACACAGACACACAGGAGCACCGGAGTGCTCTACGCCGCCGATGCATCGAAACCACCGTAGCGCCGAACTTGCGTCTAGCACTTCCAATGTAGCACAGCAGCCAGGATCCAGTGAAGCATCAGCAACTCTCTGTCTGCTCCAAGAACAACACCGCGCGGTGTGGGACTCGTGCAAGGAGGGACGGTCAACCACCGTAGCGCCGAACATGTGTCTAGCTCCAGTCTGCCAGTTTACAGCAGCGAGGACCCAGTGAAGCATCAGCACCTCCTCTGCCTGCTCCATTGATGACAGCGAGCGGTGTGGGACTCGTGCAAGGAGGAACGGTCAACCACCGTAGCACTGAACTATCTAGCACTGCCAGTTTAGTACAGCAGCCAGGATCTAATGAAGCATCAGCACCTCCTCTACCTGCTCCAAGAACTACAGCGAGCGGTGTGGGACTCATGCAGCAGGACACGCTATCTGCTCTATCTTGCGCAGCTTGGGGTCCAGGTCCTGTGGGGGGTGGTATCGAAGAGAGTGGGTCTGCTGTGAGCACTCTGAGCGGTAGTAGAGGCAGTGGTGTCGGCGTCAGCGTCGGCGGTAACGTTCTTGGGTGGGGCGGTAGCCAAGCAGGGGGGGCTGGTCCCGCTGCTGCAGTGAGCGGTCGCGCGAAGGGTGGTGTCGGCGGCCGAGTCCCTGTGCGGAGCGGTGTGCAACCCTCACCAGGAACGGGAGTTGGTGCCCTTAACGCCAACGGCGGCAGAGGAGGTGGCAGACCTGCGCGCACTCTGAGCGGTGGTAGAGGTGGTGGTGCCGGCGTCGGCGGCCAACGCCCTGGGCGGGGCGGTAGCCAAGCAGGGGGGGCTGGTCCCGCTGCACCAGCGAATGGCCGCGGGAGAGGCGGTGTGCAACCCTCACCAGGAACGGGAGTTGGTGCCGTTAATGCCAGCGGTGGCAGAGGAGTCGGCAGACCTGCGCGGACAAGGACCACACTAAACCGCCGGTGCTCCGTGTGTTGTGCATTGCCTTCATACGGAAACCAGAAAAAGACTCTGCCTGGAGGATAGGTGCCCGCGATGGGCGTGTAGGGCGCGCTGCTACCACGGGTTCAACAAGGATCTCCAACAGAAGTGCTGCGAGTGTCACAAAAGCATCAAGACGTGGTGCGAGTGCAAAAGGTGAGCCTGTTCCTTTTTTTTGTCATATATCGTCTCCCTCTTTCGAGCAGGTCGGTCTTCCCTTCTTGCGTCATGTTTTCGCCGCGACCTAGAGATGAAGATTGAGGTTGTGGGTTTGACCCCCAAAACCCTCGCAAACCTGGGCACGGGACACGTTGCCTATGTAGGCCTCTCGCTCGCAACGTGTGTCTCGCAAGTATATCCGACCTCCCAATTGCCTACAATTGTCACCGTTGCGACGTTCCATCTAACCAGCTGCTCAAGGAAAACATGGGCGGTGCCACCAGCCAACGGGGTATCAAGGGGTACGGGTTTGGTCGCCGGATAAGGGGGCGGTAGAGGACGAGGAGCTCCGCGGCATGTACCCGTGAGCGTGATTCGCTTGCCTGCAGCGGATAGTGCTGTAAACACCACGCTGTCGGTATGCATCGCTGCGAACCAAAACCGGGTAGTGACGACTGTGCTACAGAATCCTGCGCCAACAGCGACGAACCCGAAGCCTTCACCGCGGAGCAGCTGCTCTAGGTTAGAGTGCCACACGTGAGCGAACCATGAGATACAGGGTGTAACCGGTTAGACCTGTCAAACAGGGTGAGCCCAGTGTTCGCTTGCTGTTATTTGTTGTTGGTGAGGTCATGCGAAATGGTGCACGAAGCACCAGGTCGAAGCTCCTTGAAGTATTGGCCGGCCCCAATATGGCTGTCTTCAGATGGGTTTCCTTTTGTTCAAGGTGTTGCTGAATTGTCGTCGTTACTGAATTGTCGTCGCGTGTTTATNGTCTTGTTCGTCTCTCAGGATGCTTCTTCATCAGCGATCGGTTAGCCAAACAGCGGGGGCCAACGCTGGCGTTCAGAGTGCTACGGGGGCCATTTGCGAGCACGCCGCTGCGTCGTTGGAGGCGCTTGACAAGAACACGGTGGTGGACGCGACGCCTATCTTTTTCAACGGCATCAACGGATGTCCGTACGCGGGTTTGACCGCGTGTATCTCGCAAGCCCGAGCTAAAGCGTTCTTGTCGGAAGTCGAAGAAACGTTGTTGGTGGGGATGGTGGCGGAGGCAAAAGACGTCGGCGTGTACCAAGTCGTCCAACTAGGCGAGTGGGGATACGCCGTGAGCGAGAGGCGGAGTAGAACTTGCGAACTGGACTGGGCCCATGTGAAGTA